CAAGTGGCTTGTCTCTCTGATTCCCCGGTGGAATCTATGCCCTCAACCATAGTTAGTATTTACTACTTTTTATCGATGACACATCAACTTCATCTGTGCTGAAATGTTACAGTGTGAGGGCATAACGATTTTTGTTTTGTTTGCTGTAGGACTTTCAGCAGCAGCCACTATTCTGTTTAATCATTTTATGCTCTTATAGTGAACAATATTAACAAACAAGTGCAATTCTTACATATACAGTTAAAGGAAAACAACTTTTCTCATATCTTTTGAAAGCAAGCCTGCTGTTTTCTTACATTTTAGCCCTGCTCCGTTCTGTTATCTTAGATCTTCTGTGTCGCATAAAAGACAAGGTGATGAACTTCAGACTCAAACATACAGAACAACAAACCCAAACAGGAAGCTGCATAGAGATAACTGTTGAGAGCATTGATTTTTAGCGAGATCTGCAGTGCTTAAACCCGTTCATGCTGTGGAGTGTCATTTGGTTTATTCTTCTTTTTTTCTTTTTTTTTTTTTAAACAATATTGCTCCATAGAGCTTTGAAGTTCACAACAAAGTCAGATTTTCCTTTCACTAGACAGAACCGTTGGCAGTTCAAGAGGTACAGTGACACGGCTATGAAGTGTGGATGATATAATAAAGGCGCACAATTGAAGCCGTCTTATGTATTTCCATTATTGTATGTCATTTAATGGAGGAGTCTAACTTTGGCACAGACCTCAGAGACAAGACACCTGCGACCAGGCTGCTCCACATGGCTCTCCGCTTTCACCTCTTCCTCTTTCAACATTTAGCAGAGCTCTGCTTTTACAGCATGTGTGCTCTTTTTCAAATAGACGGCAGGGAATAAGCGCGGTTGGAGTCGAGGAGATTTCTCTCCCACAAAATTAATGCATCTGTTATAGTTTGCAACTTTACTGCCTTTCTGCTGGTAGCCTGGAATGTTTAGTAAGTTTGAAGGGATTAAAAAAAAACAAGAATATTAGCTGTGAACAGGTGGACGTCCCTTAAAATAAGCTGTTTACCGAGCTTATAAATAACCACAGTTGCCAGTGTGCCATTTGTAAAGCGAGAACAGATTAGGTTGACCAAATCTGGAGAAAATAAAAAAACTTCAAGGGTAAACCTTGAACCAGACGGTAGCTGTGGTTAAGCACTGTGAGGAAGAGGTTGGTGGCTTCATTTGTACATAATGTGTAAAAATAAACCTGGGTCTGTAACAGCTGTACAGTAAACACATTTTAAATAAACTCAGTGTTTAATCATTTTCATTAAGCGGCGCTGAGGAGGTGGTCCAGGTGTGTAGCAGTGGGGTAAGCTGGCCGCAGTATCTGGTGTTTACATGCAAAGAGATTTCTATTCTTAACCCACTTATTCAAGTAACCCAGTTTTTGATCTTTGCATGTGAAGTATGCACACTTACCTCCTTGTTTATGACAAACTCAACTATGATGACTAATTTGGTATTTGTCTATTTATACTCGTTTCTAAATGACTACATTTAGTTGCACAGAACTGATGATTTGTCTTAATGTGCCAGATGGCTGTCTGCTTTTAGACTTACTGAACTTTTTGGAGCTGAAACCTGTATTGCATAGTCATCATGTCTTTGTGCAGTGGAATCTCTCACACAAATTTGAGATTGTGTTTATATTTGTGTGTTCGTTTTTGCTGCATTTTTAATAGACAGCCTGTAAATTATGCAACAGGAGTTCAATACCCAACCAAGCTGTGCAACAACGCTCCATTAAATTTGACTCTGTGCCGCGGTAGAACATCATGGCCACACTTGCTCCTTTCTCTTTTGTTTTGCTTTTTTTTTGCCACACAAATAGAAAGCCGAGAAAACATCTTCACCAATTCGACAACTTCGCGCTGCACATGTGTTGAGAAAATAACCAAGTACTGAATTGCTGTTGGCTTAACAGCAGGCATCTGGAATAATATCTGAATCATAAAATCAGACTGTTTAAACAAACAAGCAAAAGAAATCTTGATTTTAGCTGTTTTCCAACACCGTTGCCAGACAGTCAACTCAGTAACTACTATGAGTCATTGTGGCAGCAACAAGCATGTCCCAACTGTGTTCATCAGTGTTTTAGTGCCTCCTGGAAACAGTTCAGTTGTAGTCTGTGCTCCTTCCAGCATTTCTGTAATTGGCAGTATTTTATGTCTTTTTTTTTTCACTCATTTTATGCTTTATGTTTTCTTACTTTGCAGCATGTTTTGTAAATGCTGCACATGTATGGACACATTGATGTTTTCTCAAGCTATAGCGCAACTGATTTCTTAGGGCCACTATCGGTTTCGATGAGACTTGATGTGATGCTGTATTTGTGCTCTGCATTGTGTCTTAAAAAACAATACTCTGATTAGTTCACTGGAGCCACAGTAGATAAAGGGTAAAAATTTCAACTCATGCTCGGAAATCAGACTTTCAGAAAATCCTTCACAGATTAAACCACCAGAGACGCTGACATTTGATGTATGACAGTGCGCAGATGACTCCACTGACAAAGATCGTAATCTATATTGCAGAGGCGTTGTATAATTTTAAATGAGCCCCCTCTGAGAAACCATCCAGCTGACAGAAGACAACAGTCGCCAACGTAGCAGTCCGACCGAACTCACGCTCTTAAAATGAAGACATTCCTTATATTTCAATTGAAATGTCAATCAAAGTTAGTTCACGATCCACCGGGGATTACCCGCAATTTCTTCTCCTCTGAGACATTTACTGGCAGCAGCCATGATCACATACTGTAGCTCTCGCCAGATGATGGAATGACTGCGTGAGCACGTGCCTTGGGTATCCCTCTGTGTACTCTGTCAAAGAGAAGCCTCCAGTCACTGCTTAGTGGCAGAAGATGCATTACATTGCAGTGACATTCGAAATAGTCCCTAAGGTGCTCCACCATTGCTTTGACTGACAGACCAGCTTGGGAAACCTGTGCTGTCCCATAATTCACCAGATGCTCTGTACTCTCTGTGGTCTCATGGACTCCCTCTCATTCTTACATCCCAAGATGCACAGAGCGGTGTCAGTGTCGCTTTCTTTTTTTTTCCATTAGCATTACTCTCCTCATATTAGAAATGTCTTCTTTTTTATTTTATTTTAAACACACTGATTATCAGCAAAAGTAGCTTACAACTCCCGCATTAGTGTATTCCTGTGCCATCTGTCATTCAGAGTACAGTAGATTTTTAAAAGCATCACCAAAACAAACAACAACAAAAGTCTGAGTAATAAATTGCATTACCTCCTGATGTTACTACGTACTATACAAGAGATCCTCAGACTTCTACGGTGAATTCAAGACAGACAGCAAATCTGTTTCATTAAGCATTTGTCCTGGTTTCACGTGTACAATATTAATCTACATTTTTGATTCCAAAACAAAAAAAAGTTTCAACAAACTGTTTGTTAGTACTTCACTCATCTAAGAGCCACTTCTGACATGAACTGAAACCCATTATTGTTCAAATCCATGTAACTCTAGCTTGAAGCAGCAGGACTAACATAATGAGACAAGAAAACAATAAGAGCATAAGAGAACACTCATTATAAGATAGTTTTATTAACCCTTTGTTTTATGCTTGCATCGCTTTTAATTACGTCTGGCAGATGGTGCTCTGCAGGGGCAACGCAGTTGTAGTCTTTTAAAGTCTGAAAAAGAGTTTTAAAGTAGTTTTGCAGCAGAGTTGCACAGGAAGTTATATCTGTATAATTGCTCATACCATAGAAGCCGCCATTGCAAAAAGACTCTCAGAATGTTTGATTGTTTGTTTGTCCTTGGTGTCCTGGATTGATCTGAATGGCATATGTTTAATTTTAATGTCTGAACTTTACTAATTTATGCTGTTCTTGTTTGTTTCTTTGTTTTTTAATTGGTCAACTTTAAATTTACTGTTTCCCATTTCTGTGCTGCCAGAACATCTACTTTTATGATGCCTTTAATACCCACTTTTTATTATGTGACACCATTCAGGTGATAATTAGATTATATGTTTTAGCATTAAAGTTATAGATAGTGAGAGTGTATCTAAGATCAGTACAATACCAACGCTAACATGGATATAAAAATAAACATAGCGTTAAATTTACTCATTTGCTGAAATGTCACCAAAAGCTAAGTATAGTGGACTTTTGTAACAGTAAGAATGTGTAATATTGCTGTTGTATTGAATTAGAATGGATTGCAGAGGTGTAAGTGACCATCAGGTGTGAATTCAGATAAATGGTTTTCAAAGTGTGTCAGTGCTATGAACTCTGTGGTTTTCAAATTGAACTCTTATGATCAGATATGGTTGAATTTTAAAGATTGGTTGCTTTTGAGATTTAACATCTAAATGTCATTTATATGCTACTTAAAAATGGTGCATTGATGATTTGTTATTTTTATTTTTTTTCATTCATTCATTTGTTTTACTTAATGACACCACTGATACATGGAGCAAATGTTGATTTATTCAGCAGAAAACCATCTGAAGGTCCAGACCAAGGCCAGGCACTAGAGGAACACCTCCGCCAGGCGGAACGTTCCAGGCTCCCATGCTACCTTCAGATGTACAACAAAACACCCATGCTGATCTGCTTAGCCATCCTGCCCCTCAACCCCCTAATGAACAAGGGCAAAAGAGCTCTTGGGCTTAGCCTCTCCCTCTTACCCCAACTTAACAAGATGTCCCCCTACTCCGGCTTTCTCCCTCACACACACACACAGGCGCTTATGCACGGTCGCGCACAAAGGCACACACCTCCCAAACCCCAAACCACTAACCCTCAGACCAATCTGTCTGTGGCACTAAAGTATTATTAGACTTACACACTCTCAAAGGGGAAACAGTGAGTGCTGAGAGCTGGAAGATGAGATATGCTACAGGGGCTACTAGTTCCATTAAAATGGCATTCACTGGGGCCTTTGTTATCATCGGCCCTGACGTTTTCGGGATGTAGTGAGGTTTGCTGATCCATGACCATCTCATCTATCTTTCAGGATTTGAAGGAAGTTTGTGTGAAATCGACACCAATGAGTGTAGTTCAAACCCGTGCCAAAACCAGGCTGGTTGTGTGGACCGGGTCAACGGTTACAGGTAAAAAAAAAAAAAAAAAAAAAGTGTTATCCTTAACCGGCTTTTCATTTCTTAGGAGGCGAGAAAAGGTCAGGATTTTTAGCCAAGGGATTTAGTAAATCCAGAGTATTAGAAACCATCATTCCTGTGTGTGTATTTTAGCCCATTACGCTGTCATTTTGGTAGCAAAAGTCCTGAGCTCCCTTTCTTCAAATTTATTTAACAGATTTCAGGTTGAAATAATTACCAGTCTCAAATAAAAAAATAAAAAAAAACACCTTAATTGCTCTTGTCATGTGTTACATATAAATGCTTTAGTTCAGTTAAATACGCAAAATCCAGGCCTCGCTGTTTAGTGCGCTCGAAATATGATGTGTAATTAATATCAGTAAATTCATATAGATTTTTGTCACTCTGCGTGTGCCTAGAGGAAACGCATAGATCTTCTATTTTCCATCTGAGACAACATATCAATATTAATGATTTTACTTTTCCAGCTGTGATTGTAAGATGGGATTTTCTGGCCTTCACTGTGAAGAAGACATCAATGAGTGTGCCTCTAGCCCCTGCAACAATGCCGCCATTTGTCAAGATCTTGTGAACAAGTAAGTATGAATATATATTTTTTTCCTTCTGCTTTGACTTTGCACATTAACCATTTTTCTTAAATAAATCAGCCAAGGCCGGCGCGAATTAGTGACTCGGAGTTTGCTTTGAAAAGGCGAGCGCGCAAGAACCGTTCTCCAAAGTGAAAACACGAGCGCGTGGTGTTCCTCTTCAAAGTGTTCTGCTTTATATAACAAGCCCGTCTTCATCCTTGACACACATAAGCTGCTATTCCAAAGACAGAGAGCGAATTCAGCAGGAACACATCATGTATCTAGATTGGGCTTTACTCCACTGGTGCTTCTCTCTGCTGTGCTTAATGGGAGCCCCGGGGCTTCCAGGCTTAGTCGGACAGATGGGTAGAGAAGTCCCAGGGCCAATTTGAGTCCTAAATGGTTTGTCTCCAGTTTGTCTCCCGTCATGATTTCTCTCCCATGTGACCTGGCCCTGCTCAGAGCACTCCCCTGATTGCACAGTCCAGGGAGTTCACATCAGGTGTGTTTTAACCTCGCTGCCCACCGCACGTCTCTATCTCCATCTCCCTGACCCAACAAGCACGGCAAGTCCATCTGCACTGTGGTGATGAATCAGACGCCGCCGTGTACTCATGGAGCCCTTTGCTGCCTTTATATTTACACATCCTTTCCCATAAGATGCTATGAGTTTGAATGCAATAAAGAAAGCGTTAATTGTACCATATCAGTCCTGCCTGTAGAAATGTACATTCTAGGCACTACGCTTCTCAAATGACAATCATTACAATTTAGCATATTTTAGAAATTCGATATAACTCATTTACTGATGAATGATGTTTAACTAATTAACATGAAGTTTAGATTTTCTAATTGCGTATTTTCTTATTATATCGCCCCACAAACACGATAACCATCTCCTCTGAGGCGTGTGGTCAGGTGATATTAAACCCAGCAACAGCTGCAGAAAAGAGATTTGAATTGAGTAAACCACATCATTGGGCAGATTGAGCGCTTCCTTTTAGTAATAAGTCATCACACCTAATTGGAATTAAGTTACACATACGGAAACTTGAGCTGCCACTCATTTTTTAAAAACAATCCGCACTCTTAATTTGTCTTTGTGGGTTTAAAACACATCGGAAAAATGCTTCTAATTGCTTCTTCAAGAGTCAATACGTTGTCTTTACCGAGAAAGAAAAAATAATTCTTTCAAGGTTACTGTAAGAGCTAACCGTAAAATATGTTCTATTACTGCCTGACACATTGGTCTTCACAGGATTTCACTTTATTCCTAATGATTAAGTGTTATCACATCTTCCTTAGGTTCCACTGCATTTGCCCTCCCGGTTATTTTGGAACGCTGTGTGACCTGGATGTGAATGAGTGTGAAGTTTCACCTTGCCTACACGAGGGCATCTGTATCAACACGCCCGGGGGCTTCAAGTGTGTCTGTCGCCCTGGATACTCAGGTAGTTCTTTTGCCCTTAGGTGACATGAAGATCAATATGAGAGTCTAAAAAGCTTATCATGACTGCTGCGGCTGTACGCTATTGAGGTAACTCTGACACAGATCTGGCTTAGTGTGAAGGAAAAAAAAAAAAAAGAATGCCCCATAATACCTGCTTTTAATTAGCCCGCCTGCTTCCGCAAGATACAGTGTCTGCTTTCCAGTAAAGCTAACAAGAGATAAATTCATGCCACCTGTTCTATCTGATGAAAACTTCTCGCTGTCTGTTAGTTGCCTTTATTTCATTTCATCAGCCTCTTTAGTCTCCCAACACTATTGTTGTTTTACTTCAATCCATTTGTCTTATTTTCCAACCAGACGGATATCGAGCTATTTTAGCACGAGAGTAAGTGTGTGTCTCTATACGTGTGTGTGTGTGTGTGTGTGCTATCCAAAGCCGATTCCTGTCAGGTACTGGGAAGATTAATTTCATTTGTCTTCCACACTGTATCATCAATTTATCCTTCCCCAGTTGAGAGAGAGGGGGAAATCTCTGAGGTATTGCTACTCTGGAGAGCAGAACCTGACACGCATGGCCCAATTCCCACAGAAGCAGCTTTTATTATTAGGCCTACGCACAGCATAGTACAAGTCATTACTTTTTCTGTTGCTCTAAGCTCATCTGAGGAAACAGGGTTCCCCAAGAGAGCAAGCGGCCAGAGGATACAGTTTGGATTGGCTCAAACCAACCAGAACTCATACAAAATATTTGCTCTGGTAACATGTGTAACAACACTGCAACTTTTTTTTTTTTTTTAACAAAAATACACACACACACACAAAAATAAATAAATAAAAACACTTTACTTGCCTACAAGTAAATTTGCCGTCTAAGGGTCATTCATCACATAGTGTTTTTGCAGGCCTGATTGGAATGGATTGAAATGTAATTCTGCCTTGATGGTATAATGTGTCATCTCTTCCATCTCTGAGATACTGTAACTCACTGTGTCACTTGATGGTATTAACATATTATTTTCTTCAGCCATCAGGCGACTCAAGTAGTGTTTTTTTGTGTGTTTCAAACGCCAAAATTGATTCGGACTGTAATAGTTGAAGCTGCTTGCTAATAAATCAGTCTGCTGTTATATCTGCTCATTTTCATGGATGTGATTAAGCTATAATGACACTTTATTCCCACCTGCATCCCCACCTGTATTGAATTTTCTTCAGTGCATCTGTCTTTTCTGCTGCTTTTCGTTAATATACTTTCAGCATGTCTTCATGCTGTAATTTTATTTTTTTATTTTTTGCCGCCGAGTTGTCTAAAGACTATTACTCTCTCATTTTCCAAACAGTTGGAAATGTTATAAGCCTTTTTAGATGGAACATGCTGGAGCTTTGAGAAATAATTGAGGCAAGAAGTCAGAAAATTGTTTCATTTACATTTCCGACAGCTTTTATCGTCTTTTTTTTTTTTTACCTTTCTGAAAGTCTGTATGACCCACTTAGAGGGTAAACATTAGCAGGCTTCCTTACGTCTCAGCTAGTCAGGTGTCAATACGTTCCAGCGGGTATTTGAGTCTCACGTTAAGGCTCAAAACTAATTGCATGTAATTATGCTTTATTTTAACATAATGCCATTTTGTTCTCTGTGTGTCATATTGATAAACACTACAAAGCGCGCTTCATCTTCCGCAGTGAGACAGTTTTAGCGGCTGCCTACATCTCCGCTGTCAGATCATTATTCAGGGCATTTGGTTTAAAAGGCTCTGCGATCGCTGTAATGTATTATTTAACTGTGTATAGGTGCTGGGCTCTGTGGAGGTCAGAAGTCATTACACTGACATGATTAATGGGTAATCTTGTTTATATAAATCACAGTTTAAGCACACTATTCGTCACCTTCTGTTTTCTCTTCTTCACCCATCATTAGTGAGCATGTTCCCTTGAGTGATAGTACAGTGCAATCAGCACATTGCTGCTCTTTCCCCAGTCAGCACATTGTTGGATGATGATGTTCTGGCTCTCGCAATGTTGTTTGCTGTGAAGGCTTCAGTAAATTCAATCTTTTGCTGGGTGAACTTGTTACACGAAATGCGGTCGTTATTTCCATCTCGACTCCCGGCAGGGATCTGTTGCTTCGGGGATGCTGTGTACATTTGGTATGAATGGAATAACGTGCTGCTTGTGCAAACATTTCCATTGATTTCATAATTGTGCCAATTATAAGCCAATTATAAGCCGAGTTTTTGCTACTGTGACACAGCTGCTACATGGCTGTCTATGCTTATGTGAAGAAACAGAAGGAGCACGGCAATGTGCTAAGTAAGCAACGATTTGCATTGTTTAATTAAATTGACTTTTTTTTTTCCACTATGTAAACAAAGAACACATTATTTGCTGTAAACAAACGTTAATGCAATGTGACACATTTGATGTTATATGTAATGATGTCTTCAGCAGTTTTAAAAGAATCTAAAATAAAAAAATAAATGCTTTATAGTGCTATAGATGGTAAGATATAAATATGCTGCTATTCATTATGAGCTACTCCAACCCTAGTCTATACAAAAATATTACATGTGTCTGTTTACATCTGTTTACTATCATAATACAGTGTGTAGTAAACTATCATGTGGCTATCTTTCATTTCAGTATCATTATGAGCATCTGTATCCATCCATACTTACATCCATCGCTTCATTTTTTTTCAGTTTTAGATGTTTTGAATGGCAGTTAATTAGGGATAAATGCGCCTCTTTTATAGAACTCTGTTGCCTGATTAGCTCCAGTGAGATACATTTATTGGCCAATAACAAGTTTACAGTGTGCACTAACAGATGTAACCAACGCAGTGATTGTTCATACAGATGTATAAAATCACTTACAGGCAACATTAAAACTGTTTATGAATGTATTTAAAATTGCTGAAGATATGTCATTACAGCTATGTTCATGCACTGTTTATTCATCCTCTTGGATGATATTTAAAAAACAATCCCGTGAGTTCAGTGAAGCAGCGTTAGTTTGTCTGAGTCAGCACTTTTGAGGCTCTTGTTGACCGTTCTGCAACATTATCATGCAACATGTATTACCATGTTTCATTTAAAATTCGATCCTCCAATATTGTACACAGCATGTATTACAGAGTCGGTATAAATCTGAGCAGAGAAGCTGAAGTATTTATGATTTTGGATATAAATAAAAAGATGAAAGTATATCAGCTTCTTTAATGTGGGCATTAGTTTATGGATAATACTAGACAGAATTTTCCTAAAATGCATGTGGATAAAGTTTTCCTAGCATTGCTTCATTTCTTTAAAACACTTTTTAATATTATTATTATAATGTTGTCTTTAGTTAATTTTATACCTCAACTTTGTTTTATTATTTTTGGTTTAAGAATTGTCTTAAACATTTAAAGTCATAAACAACATTTCCCTGTCTACCTCTTTTTTTCTGGCGAATAAAACAAACTATCACTTTTTGGGACAATAAAAAGAATCATTTTTGCATTCTGTAACAAGAGAAAATGATAGATTTTGTGTACAGTAAAGGCGGTTTATTCATCCTCTTTCATGATAAAACACAGAGGGCAATAAATTCCTGCTCCTTGTTTGTTTACATCTGTCTGAGCCTGCAGATGAGAAGCTAACCAAATGATTAACGGTGGGTCAGTCATCATTTCTCTTCTCTCCGTTCCTGGAAGTCTCAAAGAGATTTTAGTGGTAGTAAATTATATTTTTACCGCTTTAGTGAAAAACAACATCACAAAAAAATCCTTCTTTGTAGACGAAGCTGCCGCCCGTTCGTATAATTTTAATTACTCAGCAAAAGAAGTCACTTGTGTGGATGTCTCTATAACGGTACCTGCTATAATTTAGACTACTATAAACATCATCAGTATGCTTTCCCAACTTGTGTTCTGATTTGTTGGCAGGAGGGAGACTCATTTTGACAGTTTGTGTTATCTGGTGTTTCCTTCACAGCGTGAACTCTCTCCTCCCCTTCATTTCTTCTGTGATCTCATTTCTATTTTTGTGGAGTCTGCATAAATAATGAATATTATCAACACTCTGACTAAAGCTGACTTATTTAGTGAATATTCAGACTTATCTTAAGTGTGTCTGATTGCGCAGTTTGTGTGGAGGATTGAGCTGCTATAGACATGCAGTCGCCGCTGTAAGGATGTTCAGCGCTTGCAGGATGTGACACACTTTTCCATTAGTTCAGTGCTGCACTTCACTGAGCCCTCTCAGGGGCAACTATTGTTGCAGCACCACATCACTCAAATTACAAAAAAACACATTTTCACACTTGGCTTTAGGGGTACATAGCCACTAAAGCCAAGTGGTTGTATTTTCACAGGTTTTGAGTTGTCCACCAGTAAGATTTCTGCTTCCATCCCAACATAATAGAGGTGAATGGAATTTTGTTGCTGGTGCTCACAGGAGTGAAACATTGCATTAAAACATTTCAGAGCAACATGTTATTTTTATGTCTTGTTTTTTGAAAAGACCTGCAGACCCCACAGGACAATTTGTTCACAGGATGTGCTTTGTAATGGACAAACACTAGAGTCCTCTTTGGAAGCTGGTGATGACATTTTCCCTGGATTATATAAAGCAACAGTACTTTTAAAGATACGTATTTATATAAATTTTTTTTTGTTTGTTTGTTTGTTTGTTTCAAGAGGAATATTTGAATTCCATCTTCATTTTACTGTAACTTTGCTCTTCTACACATGCCATCATTATGGACACAAAACACATGTATTATCATTTTAACTCAATGCAGACTTATCCATCCATCCATCCATCCATCCATCCATCCATCCATCCATCCATCCATCCATGTTGTTAGTACGAATTTATGTCGAGACTTAGGCTGCAGCTTTGATTGAAAAAATGTGCCCACTTTGATAACTTTAGATTGCTTGTTTTATTTCACCCAGAACAGAAAAATGTACTAATGTTCTACATTTAAGAAGCTTGAACCAGTGAACTTTTGGCATTTTTTGCTGAATAAGTAGCTTAAATGCATGATATACATGATTACTACTTGGAAGATTATTCATATGTAAATTAAACTGGTCACAGTTCACATATTTTGTAAAACTCAAGGCTAAAACTTTAAATATTAAAACTTTCAGTAAAAAAAAAACACTGCATTTGCTCTAAGCTTGACCTCAACTGCTATTTTACAAGCTGGCTGCTGGAAACTAAAGTATGTTTCTCTGCAGCAGAAAAGAATCACTGGACACAAGTTAAATCCACTTTAAATTCTGTGTCTCATAGCAAACCCCTTTCATTAAAAGCATTCAGGCATCTTGTCAGTATCAAGACAATAATTTGTAAGCGGTAACTTGATGGAAAAAATCCAGAGCACTCATGTTTCCCGTCCCTGCCAGTGTGTGATCACTTCGTATCAAAGGTGACTAAAGAGACGAGAGAAGAAAGACATGTCATGCTGGTGAGGCAGCTTTATCTGGACAACATGCTCACTGCTGCTGCTGCTGCTGGATACAGTATTTTATAGTACACTATAAACTGTGTACTTTATGGGGTTTTTTAAAATATATTTTATACGTTGTAACTTAAATTTCTCAGCTGATTTGGCATAAATCTGAAAACAGCCTGAGACAGTAATCAGCCAGTGATCATTTTCACAACACTCCCCGCTTACCTTTTGTCTGTCGCCTTTGTTTGATTTGCCAACTTTTCCTCATTGATGCAATACTTCTTGACAGACAACACTTAGTTATCAGAAGTCATTTGGTTATTTCATGTGACGTGTTTGAAAATTCTGCCTGCAGGCAACCACAATATCGTATAATAACCTGTAAATGCTCCTCAGAAAACAAACCTCAGAAGGCTTTTTTGATATTGTATAATTTTTCATGTGTGTGGGTTAGCTACTAACTAGAGCCCTGACAATTTAGGGTTTTTGGGGAATCTTGGAGAGTGAGAAATTCTGTTATCAATATATTTGTTAGTATTGTTTATATATTGTAGATAAGATAAATCGATAGTGTCATTATTTATTACCTTTTGAAGCAATGGATTTCACAAACTAGTGAGCAACTTAACATGAAATCAAAGCTTTACTCTGCACCACCATCTGCTCAGCTGTGATACGTACTCTGCTACATGTGCTGCAGACAACAAAACAAAGTCAGTGTTGCTTTCCTGGACGTACTGTGTGGTGACAACATTTTCACATTTTTCCAAGTGTCTTTTATCTGTATTATGTTTTGTAAAGGAAAATGTTCATATTTTAATATCAGACAATGTATGCGCTGCTACTGATATTTGTGACATTGGATTATTGGCCACTCACGACATCCTAGTGTATCTGTCAAGTGCTGCTAAAATCAATGTGGAATAAAAACTGCAATTTTTTTAGGTATCAGGCTACAATATCTGTCTAGTTTGGTCTATTCGGTTTTTCATTCCTCATTTCTGAAAAATGTTTTTCTAGCATTTTATTTGAGCATGAAAGACGAACAGGATCTGAGTTTGAATGGAAGAGATGTTCTTTAGTGCAGCAAAGTCACCGGGATGTGAAACTCATCCTTTAGACTGAAAACATGGATAATGCTGACAAAGCAGTTACTATAGTCAATGGGATATACAGTTTTGCAGATAATCATTACTTGCTTGACAAGAGCATAACCCCGCGGTTGTTCAGTTTCAAAGGTTGGAAGAGGTTAGAAAATAAAACTGACCCCGGACTTGACAGAGGAATCAAATCTGCTACTTTTCCCAATGTAAAGTCAATTGTCCGTTTCCCTGAATGCCCCGCAGCTAAATATCTTATTTATGCGTATTTCTGTTAACACTCTGAGTAGCGAAGAACTAAAATGACCTTTTTTCATAAGTTGTTAAATATGTGATGTCTTCCTAAAATGTGCTTCATTTCCTAGGGCCACGGTGTGAAGTTAACGTCGATGAGTGTGCTTCAAACCCATGCCAAAATAGTGGAAGATGTATTGATGCGCCTAATCGATTCCACTGTTTGTGTCCTGATGGCTTCACTGGGCTTCACTGTGAGACCAACATTGATGAATGCATGTCAGCACCTTGTCTTCATGGGAGGTACAGATTTTTCTCCATCATTTAAGACAGAAACACAGCAAATTGGCGCTGCAATGGCATGGAATTATTTTTAATTACACTCCTTGCCGGAGCAGTGAGTGGAGACATATGTCAGACGTAAGGAACTAATGTGATGCACTTACAGGTTGTCTCAGTGGTGTTTAAATTATAGTCATTAATAATTTCGCGGAAGGGGAATTATTAATTCATTCAAAAGATCATATTTCCCTCTGAGGGTTCTGGATGAACTTTACTACGGCATAAAACCTGGCTGAATACAAGCTTTTTAGTTCATTTCATACAGAAAGCTAATTGACCTCTTCTGTTGTGGCTTTCTCAGCTGTGACGATGGGATATATTCGTACACCTGTCTTTGCGAATCTGGATGGAGCGGCAGCAGATGTGAAACAAACATCGACGTGAGTTGCGCTTAATTAATAAACCTACTGGGTGTTCGAGAGAAAGGTCAGGAGAATTTTGTAATCTTTGTGTGGCCTTTGGTATCATTAACTCTATTGATTTTTCTACAAGATAAGTCAATTGAACTACCAGGATCATGTAAGCATTGTACAAATGCCTGATTAAAAGAAATTGCTTAGTCTAATGCCTAATTGATTTAAACCACAGCTTTGTGCTGGACTCCAGAGATAAAACATTGAGTTGTTTACAAGGTCTATGCCAGCACTTTGTTGAACGGCTAATCTGATCATCTGCTTTTAAACTACTAACAACTGATTCAAAATCAAAGTTTTCTAACCACACGTTATGCATTTTACATGTAAAACTGAGCATTTTGTGTTTAAATCTGCCGCAATGTTTTGTGTCTGATTCCTGTAAATGTCTTCTTCATTTGCAGGACTGTGTCTGTGGTCCCTGTCTGAACGGAGGATCGTGCGTGGATCTCCTTGATAAATACGCATGCTTCTGTCAGGACGGTTACGCAGGGAAAACTTGTGAGATTGACGTAGATGTCTGCAAAGACAACGACGTGTTTAATGTCTCGCTGTGTTTCAATGGGGCCACCTGCCTTGATGGTGAAGGGTCAAACTTTACATGCAGGTGAGTTTGTCCACTCCTGTATACTGTTTTTGATGAAATGACATTCAAAGATTGTCCCTGGATTGACTCATGGGGAGTTTAATGGAGCAGCCTCCCCGCTGAATATTTACGTGTGTTCCATTTAAACTGCTCCTCTTAAACCAAACATAGCCGCAGTTTAATTGACTATTTCCTAAACCCCTCCTGTGAACTGTGTTTGACCTCTTAGTGTTTCACTATCATAACAAGGCACGACAAGCATGGAAAGCTTGGGATTTCTAGGGCGATTTATGGGGTTATACAAAAAGAAGTATTTGACAGCGTCTTTATACGCTGTAATGAGAGCTGCAGTCATTAGTCTGGCCAACTAGCTTACCATCTAGAGAAACATAATGTTGGTTCAAAGGCCAAAGGCCAAATGTAGCATTATTCACTAACTAGGGGAGGTTAGTATCAGGGGCTACAGGTTATGCTGAAAACACAAACAAGCAACAACAAAAAAAAAGCTACTTGCACATCCACCGTGTAGTATGCTGTTGAATGCTGTTAGAGTACAGGGTAACATTAGCAGCTCTTTTCTGCTCTGTAATGGATTTCAGACGTTGCAAGTTTTACCCACTGTAGTTTTACACTGCCTATTATCTTGTAGTGTGGAAGAGGAAACATTCTGTTTGAAATTGCAGACAAACATGCAAGCTAAGCAATCAAATAGACATATGTTAAAGTTGAACAGCATCCTAAACAGTCTCGCCTTGCATTTTTCCTTATCGTGCTTGGATGCAGTGTAAACAAGCTCTATGCAGTAACATATATAATATATATATAATATGATGCACTGAAATGTGTGTGATTACTGTGGAAGAAATGAGGAAGAAATCAGGAACAACCTGATAGTTATTGGGTATTGAGATTAGTTATTAGTTACTGAAGAACAGACAGGGAGATCTTATATACTAAATCATTCAATTAGCAGTTCCTCATTCGTTTTGAAGCATCATACACTAGTAATAACTCATTCATTACTCATTACTTAATATTTAGTTACTCTTCTTGTACATCCCCAGTTACAGTGATGTATAATTTGTGTCTCAGTATCATATTGTACATAACAGAACAACACTAGTGACCAGTTCTGATTGTCTTTCCTCTTTGTTTTTCCTTTTTGCATCATAAAATTTATTAAAGCTGAATATTTAAAACAGCTTTTACAGAGTTTTCATTTCCCAAACACATAGTAAAATTAAGACAGAGGGAGAAACCATCAGTTCACAAATATTATAAAGGTGCAGTATCACAGGTAGAACAGACTCTGAATTTGCATTTTGTGTAGTTTTAAATACAATGTCAGTGATGGACAGTTTTGCTTGTCTCTAATTAAAGAAAAACGCATCTCGTCTCACATTAATGGTGCGGCGGCGCATCTGTGCTACCATACAGTCACAGTCCTCCAGATTTGTTGCACGTGAATCATTACTTTTTAATTGCTGGCCCGCTATCACCTGAGTGATGAAGTGTATCTGAATACAAGGTGTATGTAGCAAGAGTGTGCCGATTTGACACAGCAGCTCTCTGGACGCCTCACAGTTAATTACGTTGTCTAACCTTGTGCTGATGCGCCGCTATATGCTCAGTGTCGTGATTTATGTGACGATGACGACCACGACTCCAAATAGGGTGCTGCTCTTTACAGTGTTATATTGATGCGCTGGACTGTGCGCCGCCTCACAGCGTTTTTTATGATGCTCCCGTTCATTTACGCCTTATTTGTGTGTGTATTTCAAGGAGGCAATATATGTTGTGCATTTACAGATAAATGTGTATGCTAAAGGCAGAGTTAGTGTATACACACACTTTGTAGTTAATGCCCTTTACAGTCCTGCTGATCTGCAAAAGGGTGATTGTGTGTTGTGTGCAGTTGCCACCGCAACAGCGATGTCTTTTGCTCAATTTACATAAGATTTTGGTTATAAAATATAATTTGTTGCAGTAATATTCAT